TTGTCTGAGCGCTCGCTTGTGTTCTTACAATCTGGTGGTTAGCTTCCACCCCATTTGTCCTACATCAGGGATGTCAAACTCAATTTCATTGAGGGCTGCATCAGCATTGCGGTTGCCCTCGGGGGGCCGGGTGGGTGCGGTCAGGGTGGGTGCGGCCTACTGGGTGGGCGTGGATGGAGTGGATGTGGCCTACTGGTTGGACATGGCCAGCTCTACATCGTTCGTGTCAAGGGTGCCTGTCGGGGCCTGGGCAGGAGTGGGACAGATCTGAAGGTCTCTGGCAGAAGGGGATGGGACCGGGGCAAGCGCCAAGGCATGATCCATTTCTTATCAAAGGGTGACACTTCCCCAGCATGCACCCAGGGGGTGGGGCCGACGCGGCAGGGGCTGGTTCCTCGCTGTTTCTAGATGGCCTTGTGGAGCTAAGACTGAATGCATTTCAGCATAGATGGCCATCACAAAATTGTACATTGGCTCCCGGCCGGCCTGGACCAGGGCCAAGGCAGCGGGGGCTGTTCTCTCACTGTTTCCAGGATGGCTTCGCGGGCCACATGAAACCACTTCGCGGGCCGCATCCGGCTCCCGGGCCTTGTGTTTTACATGTCTGTCCTACATAGTCACAGGGGATCTGGTAGATTACATTGGAAGTATCTCCCACCTCCAAACGATCTTTTTCAGCCCTCGTATGGTAGCCTCATTCATGAGATATACATCTATCAGTTAGAGGTTCTGTAAATGTTATCCAAAGCAAAGTTTGGTTTGCGCAAAATAATGGGTACACTAACAATATCAGACAGGTCAAGTTCATCTTTAAATGAAAATTGATGTACAATGCTAATAGGACTCTAATAGATCTATTTATATCAGTGGTTCTCAACCTTCCTAATGCCGCGACCCCCAACCATGTGGTCGTAAGTCGAGGACTACCTGTATTTCCCTGTGGGCGGGGCAGGAGGAGGCGCGCACGCTCCGCCTCCTCTCCTGCGGTTGGAGCGCACGCTGGGCAGGCCGAGGGTGGACGCAGGCCGTCGCCCAGCAACCGCCTTGGCCTGGGAGCGCCGCACATGCGTGGTGCCGCCCCCTGCGCCGGCCGAGGCGTAGCTGGCAAGCGGCAGCGATGGCGCAGGCCGACCACCGGCTGGGCCACCAGCTGGCCCAGCCCAAGGGAGGTAAGGCACCCGCCGGGCCCCACACGCGTCAGCAACCCTCCCTGCACCCGCCGCTGCTCCGCTAGCCTTACCTTGGCCACCGCACGTTCGGTGCGACAGCAGGCAGACCCAGGCGCTCCTGGGCGGCCATGGCAAACGGCAGCGAGGGCGCAGGGCGACCACCAGCTGGGCCACCAGCTGGCCCAGCCCAAGGGAGGTAAGGCACCCGCTGGGCCCCACGTGCACCAGCAACCCTCCCTGCGCCCGCCGGCCTCCCACCTCCCACCCCTGGCCCTCTTTTACTTACATTTAGTAGTTGCTCAGCAGGGAGGGGTGGAAACGTCCAGAAAGCTTGCCTTAGCTGCAAACAACTTGCAGCACTGTTTGCAGACTGGGACTTTTGGCGGGCTCAGCAGGGCAGAGACAGCCTGGACAATTCCTATTGGCTTTTGAAAGCCAATAGAATTAGACTCTATTCAAGAGAGTCTATTCTATTGGCTTTCGAAAGCCAATAGATTATATTGGCTTTCGAATGCCAATAGAATAGAGTCTCTTGAATAGAGTCTATTCTATTGGCTTTCAAAAGCCAATAGAATAAGAGGGAGTAGCACAGCTAAGGAAAAGGGGAAAAAAATGGCGGACTGCGTTGTTTGTCGACCCCCGTGAAATGGTCGTTCAAATGGGGTTGCGACCCACAGGTTGAGAACCGCTGATTTATATAGATATGTAACAATGCAACCTTGTCAAGTTTTTCTAACATATTTCAAGTACAATACTTTGTCCTTATATAGAGTTTATGTTTTCATAAACTCTGTATAGCCTTTTCAGTATTAACAAGGAGTAATTATTTTGCTTCATTGCTAAGATGAATAGCTACCTTAAATAAGTCTTGTGGTATTCTACTATAATGCGTAGCCAACGTTGCACAAAGTTGCTTTAGCTGTTTGAAATTGTTTCTTGGATTTACTGATTGGGAATCTGTAAACTATATCTTGTGATAGATGTTTGTTTTCACTGTAAGTTATTTCACCCAATCCTCACTACAAGGGGTTCTCTTTAGATTGAAATTTCCCTACCCCATCTGCATTTTTAGTCCTCTTATTTTGAAGCTTAGCTGTTCTTGTTGGTTTTATGTGAACTTTTGCACCAGGGTCTCTCTGTCAGACTTCAGTTGAAAGAAGGAAATAGTTGGGTGTGAGTGATTAAGCATAATCTAAACATCAACTATAATACTTTGTTATTTCAGACTTCCCTCCCACCAACCCCATCGTAATTCCAGATATGGAATTGTGGGCCAATCACTTAGGCAGCTGTCCAGAGAATAAATTGGCGATTTCTTGATTTGATTATGGGTTTGAGGTCACCGTAATTTTTTGCCGTTTGATTTAATTGTACAGGTTAACTTGTATATTTAACTTTTAAAATGGTGGCGTTTGTAGATTAGATTCTATCTTCTGAAGCAGCCCTGTTGCAAACAGTTTTATGCAATTAAAATTCATGTTAAAAAAAGTAGACATATAAACGGCCTCCTGTTAGAGCCAATGTATACAAAGATTTGTCCTTGTAATATGTGTATTGTGAACTGTGTTTTTCTTTAGCAGAAATATAGTATGGGACAGATTACTGCAGAAGTATAATAGACAGTGGCATGGGCATTCACAGAACCGGAAGGAGAAAAATTGTAGTACAGGATTTGTAGGTGCCTTACTTCTTTGGTGGGGGTGCGATGGCTCAGTGGTTAAAAATGCTGAACTCATCACCTGGACAGTTGACAGCCTGGGTTCGACCCCTAGTGCAGGGGTAGGCAACCATGGCTCTTTTATGACTGGTGGACTTCCAAGAATTCCTGAACCAGCATGGCTGGCTCAGGAATTCTGGGAGTTGAAGTCCATGAGTCATAAAAGATCCAAGGTTGCCTACCTCTGCCCTAGTGCTGTTCAATGAGGTGAACTCCCATTACTTGCCCCAACTCCTGCCCACTTAGCAGTTTGAAAGCAGCAAATGTGAGTAGATAAATAGATGTTCTGTCCCCCTCGGACACCCACACCCAAATAGCCAGCCGAGGGTTAAAGAACTTCTCCACTCCAATCCACAGATAAGAAAACTTGGCAACAGCTCCGTAGCTGCCTGCCAAGACTTTTACTCAGAGAACAAAAACAATACACACAGTTAGAAAATTAAGTCCACAGCAAACTGCTTCGCCAGAGATTCAGCTTTGTCCGTCACAGAGTCCAAATGGCCACCACCTCCCTTTTATAGCCTGTGGGGTGTGGTCCAGTGACTCAGCTTAATCTCTGGCACATCTCCTTTTCTGCTGCGCACACTTGTCGCTCCTATGCTGGCGTGGATCCAGCCACAACTTATCTTCCTCACTATCCGAACCACCTGGCTCCTGGACAATCTCAGAACCACCTGGCTCCTGGTCAATCTCTTCTCCGTCGGGAGACACCTGAGGCATTGCCAAAGAGGAGGGTCCTGGAGAGGGAGGCCTGGCCGTCTCCTCTCCTTCATGTTCTGAGCCTTCTTCCTCCTCCGATAAGAGGGGCTCACAAGACGGAGCCACAACAATAGATACCACTTTGGTGGGAAGGTAACAGCATTCCATGCATCTTGGCATATAGTCATGCTGGCCACATAACCACGGAAATGTCTTCCGACGATGTTGGCTCCCTCAGCGGAGATGAGCACCATACCCTAGAGTTGGACATGATGGACAGGGAAACCTTTATTTTTACCGTAATTGTTGGTTCAATATATTTGCCCCTTTTCTTTTATCAACTGTAAAGGTTTACAGTACTGCATTACTGTGAAGGAACCATAGTGGCACGGTGGTTAGAATGCAGTATTGCAGGCTTAATTCTGCCAATTGCCAGCAGTTCGATTCTGACCGGCTCAAACTTAACTCAGCCTTCCCTCCTTCCGAGGTCGGTAAAAGGAGAACCCAGATTGTTGGGGGCAAATAGGCTGACTCTGTAAACCGCCTAGAGAGGGCTGCAAAGCAGCGCGAAGCGGTGTATAAGTCTAAGTGCTATTGCTATTATCGTATTCTACAATACACGAGTCATGTTTCGTGAGAGTGCCTCTGCCTTAAGAATGTATTGGATATATTTGGCAATGCACTTTAGTAAATTGGGCAACTTTGAAACGGTATCAAGATTAAAAAATCGTGAGATAGGAACAAAAGAAGCTGTCTTATCTTAAATGAGATTATTGGTTCTATACTTGTGTGTTTTGTCTACACAGGCTGGCAGCAGCTTTTCAGATTTCCAATGGAAATTTTCCCAGCCCTGTCCAGATTAAACTAAGGGCATTCTGCATGTGAAAACAGATAAATGGTTGCCCAATCTCTTCTTGAAAACCTCTAATGATGGTGGAGCAAGAACAGTTTCTTTGCTGTCAGACTAAATGCCAGACTAAAGCAATTATTTGCATAATTATAGATACACTCTGTGAATAGCTAGGGAGGATCCGTCCTTGCCCTCTTTTGCCCAGCAGATATTCCAGCTCTGTGTCTCTTTGTCCTTTCCTCTTGTGACTCCAGACTACATTCCACCACAAATCCTTAGGCTTTGGGTTAAAGCTTGCATTGACCCTAAATACTAGTATTTGCTAGGCATTCTTTAAGAAAGAATTAGCAAGAACAGCACCAAGTTTGATCACATCAACCAGCAGTTTTATTGTATATGGTAATACCACTGAAGGAACAGGATGGTATTTTCATTGCCATGGCCATTAACAGAATTTCCTTTTACATATGACGGAATTCTTGAACGCATTGTGTTTTGATATGATAATACTAGGAGTTTTGAATGTCTTAATAATTACTCTTGTCTTTTTTGTTTTGGTTTACAGGAGGGGATTGCTTACAATTTACATGGCCAATTTGGTAAGTAATACTATTAGAATGCAGTATACATAAGCATGAAAGCTATGCATAAATATATGTGTCAACGCTGCAAATACTGTATATTCTTGCTTTGACAATATGCAGAACTGTCTGGTATTTTTATAGTTAAATCAAGCAACAGTGAAAGGGGAGGAGAATAAGAAAAGCCCAGGAAAAAGAAACCGGAAGTAAATCACATCTTCAAAGTTAATTGGAAGATGTGAACCATGACCCCAGAATAGGGGAGGGAAAAATGCCTGGAATGTCTGTGCAACGGAAAAGGATCTCAGATCTAAGCATTTCCACCATGCCGTACTGACATCTCTGTGACCTTAATAAATGCTTTTAGGATAAAAATATGCCTGAAAGTCCCTTTAAGTGTTTCGTTAATCAGACACATGACATCATGGACCGAATCCTGTTTTCATTCCATGAGATGTAGTCCTTTTGTTGGCTTAACTGATATCTAGAGCCCAGATCCACCTCTCTTTTGGGGCTGAAAAGACAAATAAGGTTTCTGGGCTGAGGTGTATTATCATGTTGTATTAGTCTTCTTCAACCAATGCCTTCCAGCCAGCCCTCCTATCTAATGCAGATTGGATTTCTGGGAGCAGTGGGTTATTTAATTATTATTAAAGTTGTTGATAATAAATTTTGCTTGGAGAAAAAGTATATAATGTGACTTACATTACATGTCAATAATAAAAAAACAACAAAACTACCAGAGAACATGTCTTATGATTTATGAAGATTGTATTTTATGATTATAATCATGATTTATCACTTGTTGCTTGTATGTACATTTAGAGCTCATGCATCTGAGACAAATTCCTAGTGCAGTGGTGGCGAACCTATGGCACGCGTACCAGAGGCGGCACTCAGAGCCCTCTCTGTGGGCACATGCGCTATGCCCCGGAGATGGCAACCGTCCCTCTTCAACCAGCCACCCGCTAACTCGGCGAGGTCCCATGTGGCTGGATGCGCTCGCTGGCCTCTGTGTGCAGGGGCCGATGGTGTCAGGCAGCAGCCGCCCCGGCCCCTTCCTCACCTTGCCCTGTGACAATGGCACCCCAGTCCTTCCTCGCGTTGCCTCATCTCACCCCACAGGACAAGCCTCCTGCCCAACGCCCCACCTATCAGAAACCCCCTGGATCTCCCCCAACCCTGCCTGGCCCCCACAGGCGTCCCTCCCCACGAGCAACATCGAGGGGATCACGCCCACCTTGGCCACACCCACCCAATCTGCTATGACCACCAGAGCCACGCCCATCCAGTGGGCTACGCCCACCTGGCACCCGGCAATAAATAAGTGGGTTTGGGGTTGCAGTTTGGGCACTCGGTCTCTAAAAGGTTCACCATCACTGTCCTAGTGTATCCAATCACACTTGGCCAATAAAGAATTCTATTCTATTCTATTCTATTCTATTCTATTCTATTCTAAAGTTATTTCAGGTGTTCAGCAAGGTGGAAAACAGGAAAAAGTGAAAATGAAAATGAAAAAAAATGAAGTGCATAGTAGGGTTGTTTAGGATATACCTGCTTAGGTTTATTTTCAATAGGAATAGAAGAACAACACGGCTGTGCTAAAGAAGTATTAGAAAATAGAAAACGTGTGAGAAATCTGCATTCTTAAACGTATTCATTTACACAGGACTCCTATTTTCCCCATAACAACTCCCCTATAAGATAAGTTACCCAGGTGGCTCTCTTACCTAAGGTCTCCCAGTTTCTAGCCTGGTGCTTTAACCACTAAACCAAACTTTTGATAAACATGTCCAAAGACCACAACAAAACCTTTATGGTTTTTTTTTTCTGTCTCCTCCTCCTCCTCCATCAAAGTTTGACTGGTGAAAAAATCTTGGAAACAATACCATTTTCTAAACATTGAATTAGCCAATGAAAGTATTGCTTAAATTCTGATTTTGGATGTTGATGTGTTTCTCATAAGCTGCCCACCTGTTTTTCCATGTAATACTCAATAAAAATGATATTAAAGTAAGTTGAGCTTTACCTCTAAAATGGGAGATTTTTCCCCCCTTTATTATTATAATGGAATATACAGTATCTGCCCATTATAACATAACAGTCTTAAAGTAAAATCTACATTTAATATAAGCACCACAGGATGCTTATTTTTTAATTTGTTCAATATATATATTTTGTTTCCTCTAGAAACCCGAGAATGTGTATATAGTTCTCTTTCTTTCACTTTTTCTTGGCAACAGCAACCCAGTGAGGGCTAGTTGTGCTAAGTAGGTTGTGCTGAGAGACAAAGATTGTCCCAAAGTCACTATTTGAGCTTCCCATGGTTACTTGAACCAGGTTTTCTGAGTCATCACACCCTTAAATACAATAAAATATAGACATAGTCAAATGTGTGATGAATTATAAAGATCCTATATTTTCTGGATCATGTTGGAAACATTTGACTATGGCCAAGGTTTAGAAGTATAGTATCTTCTTTTATTGTAGAGTTTCTGAGAGATTATCAAGTGTTCATAGGTACTACATACCAAGGCCCTGAATTTGAAATGTATATCCTGCCATTGTATTTAGGAAGATCTTGTCAATTCTGGAAATGACTTTTTTTTTAAAAAAAGATTTATATTTCTACACGTATCAAAGTTTGCATTTGGGAACCTGTGACGCTCCAGATGTTGCTGATTGATGATTCATAGTATCTTTCCTTCATTGTTTTGGTGGTTGATATCACTGAGAGTTACCTGGGCCAGCACAGGTTCCTCATTCTTGAGGTAGGTAGATGACTTTTGGTCTTCGGTTTTAATAAAACAGCCAATGATCTCACTAGGAGCCTGTACAGAAAGATATATGTAAAATAATACTAGCTCTAACGTAGCGGGGAATGTGGACTGTAGTATCTGAACCAGTTGCAATCAATGAATCAACATTTCTGTAATACCGAGGAACTGAAAATGATAGTAGCTGGTACTGGAGGCTGGACAAACAAACGTTCACAAGTCTTTCCAAATCTATTTTGGATGGCACATGTTGACGGCAAGACATTTTTAAGATGGTCAGAAAAGGGATGTATTGGTAACATATATGTGTATAAGACGATCCTTCTAAAGATATATTGAGATCAAAGAGAACCCCAGATTCCAGCTAGAGGAGAAAATGATACGTGATCACAGCAGTTATTTTTATCTAATAAGGTAGGAAAAATGGGCCTAAGATCACTCTTGAAAGTAAAAGACATAGAAGGTAAAAAACTGGCAAAGAAATTGAGGAAGTACATCAAAGAAGATCCCAAATATTTAAACCCAAGGAAAAAAAAATCAGTGGGTGGGAAAGAACAGTGCTGAAAGTGTTGTGTGTGAGTAGTGTTATTCAATGGAATAATTTGAGATTATGCACATTTCTTTATTAATCTTTGTTCTACTTCCTTGCTTGAAGCTTTTAAAACAGTTAATAAAACACATAGAATAATATTTAGCTTTTATAAAACAATGAACTGGGGATAAAGCTAACAGAATGTCTGAAACAAAAACCTGTATCCCTGTTAGGTATTAATGGGTTTAGCCTGGTTTGGAATTTTGGGGAGATCGTTCTTTCAGGAGAAAAAAAAAGTGGTCATTATCTTTTTTATTATAATAATAAAGTGCTCGCCAAGCAAGGGAGTTTTTAAACAAATTTGTTTCTGCTGCCTCTGCTTTTATTATTTAGACAAAGCACGTTTTGCTCTTTAGTTTTTTAAAATCCGTAACTTTAGAATGTTTTGATTTGCCTTGAAAAAACTTCATTTTGAGTATTCTCTCCATTTCTGGGCCTGGCTGGTAGACGCGTTCTCCAGGCTGGGGGATTTCAACCTGTTTTCACTTAGCTTGGTAGTTCATGGCTACCATGACCATGATCCGAATTATTGGCCCAACACATGGTGGGTTTTTTTCCCTTCTCCTTCCTGTCTAGATTAAACTTTAAACTGCTAAAACGAAGCCAACTTCTTGGCTTTGTGGTTGACCAAAAACAAATTATTAGTAGTACATGTTTCTGGTAGTAGCTGACATACCAGCAGATGGACCGAGCTCTGTGCTTCTCCACAGTCACACAGTGTGTTGTTATCTGCTAAGAGCCTTCACTTGAGCATATTGCTTTTACAATTTAGGCACTCCAACTCTCAACCTATTCTGGCTCCTCCAAGTAGTATAAGGGAGGTCAGATCCTTCAGCCATATCCTCCTTTAATGTTATTCCTTGCTCGATAGTCTCCTTCCTCCATCTTTTAATTTGATTTTGTCCATGTGTACCTTCTTCTGTTTGGTCTTGCCATAGAACTGCCTTTTGTTCTTAGATCTGAGTCAACAAGCTTGGGGCATATGTCTGCTCAGAGGATGTTGAGGATCATTCTCTTGCTCAGTTCTCTTGGCGTCTCTCCTGATCTTAATTGGGCAATGTCAGCAAGAGGATATATTTTCTCAGTTGGTGTAGGTTTGAGACAACCTATCACTAAGCGTACTGCTTCATTGAGGGTGATATCATCTTGTTTTGCCTGTGCAGATGCATCCCATGCTGGAGCAGCACACTCTGTTGCAGAGACCCTCAAGGCCAAATGTTGGGGGGGGGCATACATTAGAACTGTTTTGCACCTCAGGGCAGTGGCAATGTGATTTTGATGTTGTCATCTAGTCCCTTGTTGGGCATGGATTATCCCCTCTTAACCTTGGAGTTTTCTGTGGCTGTTCCCCACAGCAGGGAGGAGGGACCTATGCGATCAGTCTTTTCCAGTTGCTGATGGAGAACAATTAACCAGTGGAACAGCTTGCCTTCAGAAGTTGTTCTCTAACACTGGAGGTTTTTAAGAAGAGACTGGACAGCCATTTGTCTAAAATGGTATAGGGCATGGGTAGGCAACCTTAGCTCTTTTATGACTCATGGACGTCAACTCCCAGAATTCCTGAGCCAGCATGGCTCAGCTTGGAAACCTCTCCCTTTCCCCTCAGCATGGCTGGCTCAGGAATTCTGGGAGTTGAAGTCCACGAGTCA